TTTTTTTAGCTTCTATATTTGTAACAATGTTTCAAACTGCAAGCTAGTCCTCCATCACTGAAGCAAGCAAGCCTCATGTTTGCTTCCAGCTGCCTGGCCACCGGCCGCCATCTTGGCTGGTAGTTAATTTGCATATCTCCCTGATTAGCCAATGGGAAGGGTAGCAGTCGTACGCTAATTACCATGTTTCTCTTTTATTAGATAGGATTGTCAGTTCTTACCTTAGTTTTTCTCTTGAGTTGTTTGCTTGTTTGGTTGATGTCTTTGTAAACTAAGTTGCATTTTCTCCAGTTTTTAAAAATTTGTAAAATGCTATGATTTTATAGTCCAACTGAGATCAGTCTGTTGTTTAAGAAAGGTTTATAATCTACATGTAGTTGAGCTTTTAAATCTATGTGGATGAGCAATCAAATCTCTGTTTATATTGAACTTTCTTTGTCCAATATTAGTATTGGAAGTTTTTAGTGCTTGAAAAGAGCATTACAAATACTGCAACTGTCTGTTCCTTAAACTGTTCTTCAGTACAAATCACTTGTAAATTGGGTCTTTATTTTTCTCTTTTGACTGTATTTAGTAAAAATAATTCTTTGGCCACTTGGTTTTCATTGTTGTTTTAACTGTGATAGTCTTATAGATTTTCTACTTTTTTGGCGAATACTTTTGTTGATTTATATTTTTCTAAGAATATCATCCATTTTATCATCAAATTTACATAGAGTTGAACAAAATAGTCTTTGCATTTCCAGTATATTAGTGGTCCTCATATATTTTGATCTGAGGGACCTTTTAAACTCTTAAAAGTCATTAATTACTGCAAATAACTTACGTTTATATAGTTTATTGTTATTTACTGTGAGAAATTAAAACAAAATTTAAGAATATTTATTAACTTTTAAAGCTAATGACCTGTTACCTGTTAACATGAATAACATTTTTATGAAGAAAACCCCCTGTATTTTCCAATACAAAAAAATTTCCATGAGAAGCATTATATTGTTTTACATTTTCACAAATCTTTAATATCTGGCTTAATGGAATATAGCTAGATTATCATATCTGCTGGTAGTCACTTTGCTGTGACATTATTTTGTTTGAAGTATATGAAGAAAATCTTTCTTTACACAGATAAAGTTGAAAAAGGGAAGAATATTTTAATAGCCTTCTCAGATTATTGTGCATATTTTTTTCTGTTGCACTGAAACTCCACAAATGTTAGTTTCAATGAATACTGAAAAAC